GCGGCTGAAATACCTGGTGTGCTATTTCCATTATCTTGGCAGGGTGTGCCATTCAAATGAGTTGACCCCCACCCAGACAGCCCTAATGGCTCCATGTCGCGGATACCTTGTCTGATCTCCCATGCATCTGGGAGAAAAATCAATTCTTCCTCCCCCCCCCACCCCACCCCACCCCCCAAGGGATAGCCATGTCAAGTGGATAGGTACAGAGTCATACGGATTTTTGTAATATTTTATCAGCTCTTTCCCACATTCGTCACAGTAACCAGAGCAGGAATGACCAGAGGGGTGGAGGGAACAATAGAGATAGGTGGACATTTCCACCCTATCAAAGCCAGAACTTCCCCCTAACAACACTACCACCACCAAAGGCAGCTTTGTCTGAACCCTCACAACACTGTCCAAGTAAAGAGAGATTACAAACAAACAAGACTGACTGGGTAGGGATGGCACGTCCTCGTCAAGGTCTGTCTCCTTTAGTGGAGCAGCCGGCATGTCTCTCATTAACTCACGAGGGTCTTGGCAAGCTGGGTGTGACTCTTGCAGGGCTCAGCGGGTTTGGCTTGGGTAGCAGAGCTGATTGCTTTTCTGACTATAACATCCTCAAGTGCAGGCCGCGTCCATTCAGTGTTCTGTGCTCGTGATGGGACAGTCTTTCAAAATGCAGCATAAAATGGACACGTGCTGTGCTCCCCTGAACTTACCGCTACTGCCTTGGCCTGCTCATAGACCACCTTCCAGCCCTTGATTTCATCCCGGCTCTGGTCACTGGTGCATGCAATTATCTGTTCGGCAAGTGGTTTTGAAATCCCATTATATACCTTCTGTGTTTGATTTCAGAAGCCAGGGCCTTGAACTGCTGATGCCTTGGCCCAAAAAGCAGTCAGAGTTTTGCTGTCTGTCGCTGGCATCCCCTGGGATCCCTGGTTGATAGGCACTATAGATCCAGACTGTGATGACCAATGTCCAGATGGCTCTGGAAGTGGTTCTCCAAAAGCAGTGAGTGTCATGGAAGCACCTGGCAACTGGATTCCTGTGATGGAATTTGACTCACCACCACGGTGCCTCCTGCTGGCCATCCTGGGAATTAGTTTGGGGTTGCCAGTGCACCCTCCTCAGGTGGTGTCTCGCCCGTTGTCACTCCTGTCTCCGTGCCCAGGATGTGCGTCACACCCCGGACCGCGTCATCCTCCTCTGGACACAGCCCTCCAGCTGTGCCTCACTCAGTTCTCTGCCCCATTCCGGGGGACCGACAGCCCTCAGTCCTGCCACTCGCCTCAGTGGCAAATCTGCAGTCCAGATTCTAGCCACTCGTCTCAGTGGCAGACTGCAGTCCATGCACTGGCCATTTCCCTCAGTGGCCAGTGGGGGAAACGGGGAGGGGGAAGAGCCCAGGCCCGCCCACTACTCCAGGCCCCGACCCAGGGACCCTAAAACTGGCAGCCACGTGCTGCCCCTTCTCCAACTCCGCCATCTCCTTCCTTGGGCCACTTCCCCGCAGCCCCAGCACCGCCTCTGCCCTTGTATCAGGGCCTCAGTTTGACAGCAGTCAGCCTGGAGCTTTCTCATACTCTGCTGACCCTTCCCAGCACTGCTCTGTCCATGGCTTCAGCCCTCTAAGCAGCCAGTCGTCCTCCTCCTCCCTCGTCCTCCAGGGATTGACTGTCCTCTGCTATGTTCAGCAGCCTCTTCTTATATGGGCCAGCCTGGCCCTGATTGGCTCCTCCAATAAACCCTCCCCTAATTGGCTAGCACTACAAGCCTTTTCCTTATTGGCTGCCTCCCACACAGCCTGCCCAGGGTTGCTTTAACCTCTTACATACCAGTGAGGGGCAGCTGTCCCATCACAATCCTAGATGGCTACTTTGGGAAGTTTAAACTGGTAGCTGGGACAACCTGTGGAATATTAATCTGGCTCGTGTGTTATGTTGGTTATGCTATAGGGAGCACTTTAAAATCGAGTTCGCTAACATGAGTTGAAGCACCTTGTATAGACACAGTTTAACAACTTCACAGCCATGTTAGCTGGGTATTTTGCACTATAGGTGAACGCTACATGACCTAGGCTACTACACAACCTGCTAACACAACTTCAAAGGTGTTAAACTGTGTCTTACAGAGGTGTTCGGGGGCTTTCCAAGTGTATTATGCTAACTCAAGTAAGGTAGTTCGTCTAAGAAAAGCACTTTTACTCACTGTCCTGGACAGACCCTAGCCTCCCCTCGGAACTTGGCCAGTTGTCTGTTGTACATGTTGACCCAGAAAACTGACAAGCATAGGGCTTCGTTTGGTGTGAAGTGTCATTATTAGCGTATTAAATTTTCTGGCTTTGCTGCTGTTGTGGCTTTGTGGCATCTTCACAATGGTTGCCATGGCAACCATGTTGTTTGACTTCACCCAGTCCCTGCCTCCTGTAAGTTGAAGACCCAAGCACAGATGCTGACCTACAATGTCAGCCCCACCGAAACACAGCCTCTTCACCCCGGATCCTTACTACATCCCAGGGTGAGTTCTGACTCGCACAGCGAACCTATCACTTACAGTTGCTGAAGGAACTTGGTGTAATTGGGGAGGATGGAGGAGGGAAATGTATTGTTTACATGAATTGTGATCTGTCTCCTGATATAATTAAACTCTCCATTTAAAAGTGCACTGAATGAAGCGGGGAGCATTTGTATAGAATATAGTTAAAGATGGAATTAAGGTCTGGCATTTCCTCATTTGTGAGTGCTTGACTTTGCAACGTTAACATTCTTTTTTTAACATAGTTTTATTATGTGTGTGCCTGGGTATGTGGGGGAGAAGCTTGTTAATGTATATACATGCATGTTATAGGTGGGGCTGATAGCACCAATTATTACGAAGGCTGCCTGACAGTTCCTTTTATAAGATGCTGTTTTCAATCTCTCATAACTTTTGCCAAACTGTGATGGTCTGGGCTGAAATTTTCCGCCCAGGGTGTCTGTTTCAGGCTGAATTATTTTGGAGACCATCAGCCAAAATGGTTCAGCTGCAGGAAATGGGGTAAGGAAAAATATATTTTGCCCATATTAAATTCTGATGTCCTTTTCTTTTAAAACCTCTACTGCCTCTTTGGAGTAGAGTTTTGAAATTTGGCAGGGGCTTGGCCTTTATATCGGGGACCTGCCTTTTGCCAGTCCTTTTAAAATATGCCCAAACTGGACCAAGTCACCAGACTTTGAAAAACTGCAGATTACACATGCTCAGAGGACACATGCTAGAGCTTTGCAGCTAGACTTTCCAAAAGACTTCACCTGCGTTGAGGATGCTGCAGCCTGAGGCTGTTGGGGACTGAGCAGGTCTTTCCCTTTAATTGCTGTTCTGGGCTGGGTCAGAGCCAGACACCATAAATGAAAGCCTGGAGCCTGACTCTCTTCTGTTCTCAGTGGGGAGGGAAGGAGACTAGGTATTGGGAGTAGACTGGGATTGGCTGGGCAAGGAAACTAGGACTAGAAACCAGAAAGGTAGGAAGAAGGAGGTGGTGGGGAAGGAGACGGATTGGATGAGGATCTGGAAGGAGGGGAAGTGGGACTGGCTGGGTATGGATACTGAGAATAGGAATGGGGGAGAGAGGACAGGAGTCTGGAGAGTGAGACGGGGGCTAGGATGAGAAGCCGGAGGATTGGAAACTGGTGCAGGCTAGTTGAGGAGAATGGAACTAGGATGAGGAGACAGGGTGGGGAAGAGACAGCAATGGAACAGGGACAAGTTGGAGGAGATGGGTCAGAAGGGTTCAAGCTTGGAGGGAATAGACAAAAAAGTCTGTGCCCATTAGATCCATAGATTCCAAGGCCAGAAGGGACCATTATGATCATCTAGTCTGACTCACGCACACACCCGTATACCACAGGCCATAGAACTTCCCCAAAATAATTATTAGAACAGAACTTTTAGAAAAACATCCAATTGTGATTTTAAAATGGTCAGCGATGGAGAATCCACCACAACCTTTGGTAAATTGTTCCAATAGTTAATTACGCTCATCTTTTAAAATGGATGCCTTATTGCCTCTCTGAATGTGTCTAGCTTCAACTTCAATCATTGGATCGTGTTAGACCTTTCTCTGCTAGATTGAAAAGCCCATTATTAAATATTTGTTCCCCAGGTAGATACGTATAGACTATGATCAAGTCACCCCTTGACCTTCTCTTTGCTAAGCTAAATGGATTGAGGAACTTGAGTTATCTCTAAGGCAGGTTTTCTGATCCTGTCATCAGTTTCGTGTCTCTCATCTGAACTCTCTCCAATTTATCAACATTCTTCTTGAATTGTGCGCACCTGAGCTGGACACAGGATTCCAGTAACGGTGGCACCAGTGCCAAATATAGACCTAAAATCACCTCTCTGCTCCTTGAGAGTCCCCTGTTTGTACATCCCAGGCTCGCATTAGCCCTCTGGGCCACAGCATCACACTGTGAGCTCATGTTCAGCTTGTATTCTACCGTGACTCCAAAGTCTTTTTCAGAGTCACTGCTTCCCAGGATAGAGTCCCTCATCCTGTAAGTATGGCCAACGTTTTTTGGTCCTAGATGTATACACTTACCTCTAGCCATATTAAAATGAAGAGTGTTTGCTTGCAGCCAGTTTAACAAGAGCTCCAGATTGCTCTGAATCGGTAACCTGTCCTCTTTATCATTTACCACTTATTACACTGGTCTACAATTTTTGAGAAGTCGTCTGCTTCAGAGATAAAATGTGCTATTTATTATGTATTTTGATGTGCTCAGTTCAAATATGACAATTAAAACAACTGATTGGCTACTGTTTCTAAGATATTTAAGTTTTTACATTTTATGTCTATGTATATTGTGTAGATAGTAGAGTTTTAATCATAAATTCTAAACCTAGGTCTTTTCATGTGTTTATGGTTGCTTTACATAATAATATTTCACCTGTCCTGTTTATGTAACACTTTAAAAATCAGCAAAAGGGCTATATAAATAAAATTTATTATGAAACAAAAGGCAAAAAACTATTTTGTACATAGTTTAGTCCTATTCAATGTCTATTCGGCGCTTCTTGGCTTGTCTCTTGTATTCATTACATGGAGCATCTCTTGTC